TCTCTGCCTTCGAGAGCATCCCTCGTATTTGCGAGATGCTCCTTCATGCTGCATGGGATGAAAAATCACAAGCAAACACGACAAGAAGTCAAATTTGAACAATTCCCTCAAATGCTCACATCTAATAGAGCCGAATGTCCAAACTTTCAATTTATATTTGTGCCAGAGCCTCGTCTCAACCAGATGTCCAGACAGATGTGTGCAGGGAAATACTGGAAATGACTCAGATTGGCTGGAAGCTGTTTTCACTCAGCATGTTAAGCAGTTAAACACTGGTCCAGGGTTCCCCAGAACCTCACTAATAATAATTTAGGACAAACCCCCAACAACTGGCCTTGGATCACTTTTTGGATCCAAGCCCAGCTGGAAATGTAGCTGCTTTACTTCTTTACTATGTGGCTCAAAGTTGCATCTAATCTGTAGTAAGTACAGTAGAGGAAGTCTGTCTATAAATATGCCAAAACCCTGATTAAAGCACCAGATTTTGCATCATTAAAGAAGAAATCAGAGGATAAGCATTAATTTTCTCTGCATGAAACCAAGTACTGCACTGCATTTTAAAATGAGCAATGGAAGACATCATGGCGTGGTTTCACAAGAGCAAGAAAAAGGGGAAAAAAAGAAAGAAAACTGCGGATAACAAAGACAGATGGATACCAATATTTGGACCAGACCGGACAGTCTCCCACAGAAGCTATGATTCTTTCCGGCAGATTTTTTTCTTAAGTATTTTTATTCATTTTTAGCCCTGATTGAGGTTGTCATAATTCATGCATGACACGGTTAAATAACAATAATTAATTAATAATTATTAATGGAGTGACACATCAGTGTCCGATGTAGTGGTTTATGCGCAAGTACTGACACAAATACAAGAAAACAGCCTTTGAATAGCTGTCCAATGTAGTGACCACCTTGCCTGAAAGGGTTAAAACTCTGTTTCTTGATGCCACTGTTTATTTTGTTTATTGATGCCATATTATTTCTATGTAGCATTAATATCACTTTGACTTTCAGATCAATTCATAGACCTTGAGGGAAAGGTCGGAGGCCAACTATGATGTGTTTTAAATCATCATACAGTACTTTCTATATATTGACAACACACTGCCCACTTAGAATCATAGCTTCTAAATTATAAGGCTTTTTGTCAGTTTTTGACCAATAAATCATTAAATTGACATTGAAGACTCAGTAGATGTAAATTTTAATTCATGGGGTGTGACATGACCCCACTCTAAACCTACAGAGTATTCATTTAAAACTTTAATAACATATAATAATATATAGCCTATTTTATAGTATTCACCTCTCCACCCACCCGCTGATCTCAGGTTATTCCTCCTGAATTCTCCACTGTTATTGTTTCTTACCTTGTAAAGACACCCCGCTCCTTGCCCTCTTTCCTCTTCTCTGCCAGAGAGACAAACACGGTCTCCACGCTTTGTATAGTTTCGGTCACTTTCTGGTGGTCTGATCGGATCCCCTGGACCTCCTCTCTAGCTTGGTGGTCGTAGGACAGCCCTCCCTCCTCCACCCCGCTGGAGGTGGACACCGCCTGCAGGGCGGCCCTGTTCTGCAAAACAAGCAGACGAGACCTGGCAAACTCTTTGGGTCCTGCTATGTTTTCCCAGCAGATTGGAGATGATGGAGGGAGCCAGAAGCGCTGCGTGCAGTTGACTGGCTTTTCTGAAGACTCTGTTGTGAAGGGGCTGTCAGCAGGGAAGCTGTGGAGCAGGTGCAGAAGAGACGATCCAGAGCCCCACTCCCAGTCCTCGAAATCCGACTCCCCTGACCCTTGCTCAGGGGGGAAACTAGGAGGAGGACTTGCTGGTCCTCCATCCTCTGCTGGAGAACAGATCCCCAACAGGAGACAGAAGGACAGGAAGAGCCAAGCCCTGCTAACTGTCCCCTGGAGCATCTCCAAACTGGCTGCATCAACAAGAAAAAGACTTAGACACACAGGAATCACCAAAGAAAATCCATTCACTGTGTTTATTATCAAGTATTCCCATCTTAAGCTTCCTGTACAAGAGAAAACTACTGTGTGAAGGGCAAGAAATTTCTACTGATCAATAGAAACATGAAAAATAACACTTAGACCTCTTGATTGCATGCATTCAATGACATAACATTCAAAATAAAAGCATGACGTTTATTATGTTAAGTTCAATAACAAATAAGCTTAAATAAATTACTTAATAAATTACACAAAATAAATCCAGTACAAAACCAGAGAACATACATTTTCTCCTGCAGTTTAACCGGAAATTTGCCTCAGTTTGGTAGCGTCATAGTTGGCAACAAATCAAAACTGCAAACGCATCACTGAAGGAAATCCTGAACTCCAGATCACCGCGATGTTTTTTTTGTTTGTTTTGTTTTACGGATGTGATGCGAATTTTCATTCTAAGATGACTTTTGTTCAGCGGTCTTACCTTACAGAGAGAGCACAGAGCAGTCTCTGTTTGTGCGTAGCGGCGCTCCTCTGGTGCCTGCAGCCGTCGGAAAAAATGAGTCGTTCACTGCAGACTGTTACATGCAATCTGAATCACTTTTACTGGCCCGGTAACAGCAGAATCAGGAGCTTGGATTTTCCCTCAGTGGAAGGGGATGGGATGGGAGATTGTAAAATGCATGTGAGGTGTGGGTTACAGTAAAAGCTCCCTGCTGGAGGGAGAGAGCGCCATTCTCTGGATCGTATCCCTGATTTGAAGTGTATTTATTTCTTTGTGAGCTTCATTTTCTGTGCTCATTTGTGCTTTTTTTTGGTTTTTAGAAGTGAAGACTTTTTAATTTGAGTGGCAGGGGGAGAAGGAGGTGCGATGCTCTGGGTATTTATGAGCCATTTACAACATCCAAAACAGCTACAGCAAAACGCTCGAATTAAAACACCAAATCTGCTTCTTAAACTTGCTGGTCTGAAACCATCCCTGAGTTACATTTGAACACGATGGTGTCCTGCAGTTACTGGGGAGAAAAGAGTTTCAAAAAGTACCCAGACTGTCCATGAGCTCAAAACTCATGCAGAGCATCTGTAGTTATTTAGCGAGTTTTTTGAATGACCAGAGAGTGGATCCACACAGCTGGAGGCTTTCACCCTGACATAAGCTGCAAGGAATGGGACACATTTTGGCACAAACAAGCCAGGGTTTTGCAATTTAAGGGGAATGACGAGCAGTTTTCTGAAAACAAACACTAAATTTAAGGATGAATTGTAAAACATAAAAAGGGTGGGACTTAAAAACATTACACCACCACGAGATTCTGTTTATGCAATAAATCACTGGTTTGGCTTAAGTGTGCCTCCTGCCTCGCAAAGTAACATTTTAAAGGTATTCACTGGTTATTTTAGTAAAATGTGAAAATAACATGACAATAATAAGAAGTCGAATAAAATTAAAATATGAATTCCAGTTTATTTACATGGTTCAATAACACTTCATTTATTTGATCTGTTTGTAAGAGTTGACTACTTTTATAGTAATTTTGTATCTTTATGCTGTTGTTGTCACCAGAAAGTGACCTAATGTGACTTTGACCTTATTTTAAAAAACAACACTAATATTCTCTTGATGCAGCAAAGCACACGGGTGTGGAAAGAGTTCACTTTATGAGCATGTGTGCTGGAAAATATTGTGATTCACTTTTAATTTTTCTTTTTAGTGAGAGAGATCAAAGCTTAAATTTTACAACTGCAATTCTGAAATAATTGGGATGCTGGAAAACATGTCGTCAGATGTTTAAACTGAGAAAGTCTATCTTTTTCAGTCAAACTGAAAAAGGAGAGCTGTTTATAGTATGAACAATCGGCTCTATGAAGGCCATCTGTGTGGTTCACAGATTTGTATAATTGTGTCCAAATGTTGTAAATACAAGTCCAAAACTGACTCTGAAATAAAGAGAAATCTGACTCACAATAGTTTGAAAATCCTGGCAAAAGCCCTGATCACTTTTATGTTTACCCCCTATTTTGGGTGGTTGTTATATCTGAGGCTATTACATGCCCAGAGTTTTTTCTTTTGTCATTCATACTACACTAAAGAAATAGATACACAAAAATACAGACATTTCTAAAAAAAAAAAAAAAAAATTAATTATGATTTATTAGTTATGACATACTCTCCTGTAGTTGCAATTGCAGGACAGTCTGAGCAGTGAGCTATCAGAACCTTTTCCTGCAGTTTTGTAGTTTTATGTAATGATTTCTTTCATTGACTACAGCAGCATTCCTTTATCATGTACAATCCTGTACTGAGACTTACCATTATAACTGCACTTCTTATTCTTATATTAAATGGGATTGAAAGTGCAGTTAACCATATTTACACTGGGAGAAAACGGGAGGTATGCTTAACAGTTACTTAGTTTTGGTACTCGTGGTCCTCCATATTGTAAAATGAGTTTGCCACCCCTGGTCTACATAAAAAACACAACACAGCGGGACTTTGCTGAGTGAACCTGACACCACAGCCGTGTATAAATAGTAAAATATGGGGCGAGCGTGCTCTGACTGCACTGCCCCGGACCTCAGTAATCCCACAGTGACATCTAGTGGCAACAGCCGTGAGTTGCTGCTTTTTCTTGTCCCACCATTTAAATTCCCAAACTTTATCGTCGCGTTTGGATTTCAGTCATGTCGTTATTATTCTTAGGCTTAAATATGAATAAATATGTATTTGGGGTATTAAATGGAAAACGCTTTTTAAATCAATGCAGTTTATCAGGAAAAAATAAAAAAATTCCTTCAGTGTGCACCAGCATGAACTGTGCCCATGCCCGGGGCCATATCTGAGAGGGGCGGGGACCACCGCGGAGCTCCACCCCCCTCCAGGCTTCCGTCAGCGGGGCTGCTGCTGCTGGACCGGAGCGAGTCGGCACCAACAACCAGCCGCTGGCTGCTCCTCCGTGCTGAGGGAAAACTCGGTGCAGCCAGGAGCCACCCCGTCATTTCTCACGGTCAACGACATGGCCTCCGACGGCATGGACGAGCGATCTCCGCTGCTGTCGGGCCCCAACTCCGAGAATGTGACCCCAACAGCTCCCCCGTACCTGCAGGATTCAAGTCCCCGAGGTAAACACGCCACACGCAGCACCCCGCCGCCTGCATGCTGAATCATTTTCAGGGCGTATCGAGTTTGTGTGAGTGCGTAAATAAAGCTGCAGCAAGGCGAGGCAAGGGCATCGCTGGGAAATCAGTCGGCAGCTGACTGAAAGGTGGAGCTTGCACTGTGAGAACTGGAGCAGTGGGTTATAGAGGAGAGGGGCCTGCGATAATACCAGCAGTACCATCAAACAGTGTTTTCAGTGCAGAGATTTCTACATCACGATTCACTGGGGCCTGTCGTGATTTTGGCCAGCAAAAAAAAAGAAAGAAAGAAAGAAAGAAGGTATGAGCTGAAGCTCTGCAAAGCCTCAGTAGATTTTGGGTTGAATGTTGACGTGGGAGCACTGAGGCATTGCAGATGGAGGCAGGCGAAGCATCCTTTTGTCCAGCTGCAGATCAACAAAAGCACCCACAGGTGTGCCCTTTATGGGAGAAATAATGCAGCACGAGTTAAATGTCGTGTTCTCCTGTTTTTAATGATGGTGATTTTTGCTCGTTTGCATGGTGAATGCACTGTAAGCGACGAGCTTGAGCCTTCTTGCATGATTTGCAGCTTTCATACAGCAGAAAACATAAACATGTAGGTTACAGCCCACAGTGCTTGTTCTCAGGACTGGCAGCAGCTGTCTGCACTGACCTTTGCTCTGAATATAATCTCCTCAAATTCTCAATTTATTCTTCTCCACAAGAAGAAAGACGAAGCAAAGTGCCTGTGGGAGCTGCAGAAATGCATGATCTCACATAGAGCCCTCCTTGTGTTTTGCTGGCATTAAATATTGATTCAGGCTGTACTTTGACTTCAGTTCACATTCTCTTGTCTGAGGATTAGATTTTGAGTGCTACTTTCAGTAGTATTTGACTTTTTTTCCTGTTTCTGCTTCTATGTTTTTGTCAGCAGCCTGACAGAAAAAACGTTTCTTTGCTTTGCAGCAGCTCAGGATGGTCAGCAGCAAATGAATGGACTCATTGACCGTGTAAATCAGTTTAAGGAGCATTTCAGGCCAATTTCAAACAAACAGAGGAGAGAGAGAGAGAAGTGCTTGTTGTTCTCGAGAGTCTAATCCCACAGAATTCATATTTCACCACGGGATTAAACTCTTAATGCTGGACTGTAATAATCTAAGAAGCAAGAGCCTGGCTGGATGCTAACACAGTGACACAGTTTCTCCCCCCTCCCTCTCTGCAGACTGGATTATTGGCTAATTCCAGTTTGGGTTTGTAAAATGAAATAATTTGATCCTAAGATGCCAAAACTGTGACATTTCCCAGAAACACAATGACTGTGACGCTGCTTTGACTAATGAGCAGCTGCATTAAGGCACTAAAGTGAGCTGTGGCTTGAATTTAAATTTTAGGATATCCATGTAATACTTGTTGTGTTCACTGGAATTATTCTGTAGTAGCAGGTAGAAATTCAGTGGTTCCTGCTTGTTGTTGTTTTTTTTGTTTTTTTTGCCCTAAAATAATCAGAGAAAAACAAGCGAGTCTGCCTCGTTTAAAATGAAGCTTTACCAGCTTCACATTATCAGGACTAATTAGTCTAAGGTGAAGTCATGAAACGTCAATATTTTAACAGGTTTCTTTATATGAAGAGATCCAGTTACCCTGCTATTACAATACCGAAATAGAAAGGTCTGATTCTTCTTGTTAGCAACTCATGGTCACTTTAAGAGGTACACCTGTTCAACCGTTCATTAATGCAAATATCTAATCAGCCAGTTGCATGGCACTAACTCGGTGCATTGATGCATGAAGATGACTAACTGAGAATCAAACTGGAGAAGAAAGGTGCTTTAAGTGACTTTGAATGTGGCGTTGTTGTTGGAGTCAGATGAGCTGGTTTGAGTATTTCAGAAACTGCTCATCTACTGAGATTTTCCCCACACAACCGTCTATACAGTTTACAGAGATTTGTCAGAACGTGAGAACAAATCCTGATCCGATAGAACGTCAATAGCAACTGAAAAAAGCAAACGACCAAGATATGGAGAAGAGGATCTCTGAGTGCAGAACATTTTGAACCTTGAAGCAGATGAGCTACAGCAGCAGAAGATCACCCCAAGTGAGACTCCTGTCAGCTAATAACAGGAAACTGAGACTACAGTTCACACAAGCTCACCAAACCTGGACAACAGAAGACTGGAAGACTTGTGTGATGAGACTTGATGTTAGATGGTAAGGTTACTGACCACATCCATCGCTTTATGACCGCAGTGTACCCAGCCTCAGATTGCTGCTTCCAGCAGCCATAAACAGGTTTTTTTGAACATGACAATGAGTTCACTGTGCAGGCGACAGATTTGCAGCAACTGTGTGATGCCATCATGTCAATATGGGCATTACACCATGGAGAAAGCACCTTGTTGAAGCCATGAAGAGTTAAGGAAGCTCTGAAGGCAAAAACAAGGGGTCCCATAAAATCCCGGAAAGGTGTACCTAATAAAGTGTCTGGCAAGTGTATATAAATTCAGTTACATTAGTATGAAAAATCAGTTAATTTACTTTCTCACTAAAAAAACATTGTTACACACTCTCAGTGTTTTATTTATCATGAAAACACAAAGTTAAAAATATTAACTTGCTGACTCCACCATTAAAGAGCTGCCTCCAAAGAGAGAGCAGCTACCGTGTGGAAGTGGGTGGGTTACAAGAACATGTGACTTAATGTGACCAATGACAAGTCTTTATCACAGGTCAGGGGAAGAGAAAAGTAATTCAGTCTAGTTAAAATAAATCAGTTATCAGTCACGGATTTGCAAACCGAGCCGACCGAACCCAATGCCCTGTCTGACTGATCAACACTAATCAGACGAGTGGAGGAGCTTTATTGATATCTGGCTGAACTGTTCATAGGTGGAAGCTGAGATGACTGAGGCAAAGAACTGCCCAGCCTGGAAAGACTCCTCCATGAATAAAGAGATCAGCTGTCGAGACATGCTGTCCTTTAGTAAATGAACACAACAGGAGACACGGTACAATAACATTGATCTTAACATGATAAAAGCTGACTTATCATCTGAATCAGAGCAGCACTTTATTAGAAGAAAACCCAAACCAGTGTGCTTATACACAACCAAGATGTTTAGATTAATAATGTATTGTAATAGTGTAAAACATAGATGTAATTAAGGCACATTGTTTGCAATTTTTATACTGTGTCTTACACACATGCACTAAATGTCTACTAACGTAGCTGCTTTGGGAGATATAGATTTTCTTTCAAATTAACTCTCAAATTTGTGGCTAGATCTTAAAGACTTCAGATTAAATCTAAAATGTTGGCTGTAGTGAGGGATGGGCAGACGCATTGTTGTGTTGGTAAAAGGAAAACTGTAGTATTATTTTAAGATTAAAGAGATAATTTTTTTCTTGCCACACAGAAAGGTCTCCAGAGCTGCTGGTGTCTGAATACCAGATGTTCAGCTTGGCATTCTATCCCACAAACCACAAGTGAAGTCATCGAGTCAATACCCTTAAAGCAGGACTGTATGTTGTGGTGTTGGTGGTGGTTGCAGCAGAGTCTTCTCGTCTTTCCTCTGGCTCCTCGTGAAAACCTATAGCTGCTGTCTTCAGTGTCAGACGTGCATTAAGACACACAAAGCAGCAAGAGGAGGAGAAACAGACCTGAGACTAAGTCGGGGTGGATACTAACACGGCAGAAATTTAGATTTAATCCTAAGGTGTTGTGGAATAATAAAAAATATTCTCCATCTGGTCGCACTGTGTTACATTTTAGATTAACAAAGCGTAGTAGAGGAGGATTCACTTAGCTTTGTTGTGTAATAAGAGCCACTCTGCTGCCTGAAACTCAGTGGGAGTGTCCAGTCTTGGCATGCTCGCGTCGTAGTCGTAGCCAGGTTCGCCCAAATGTAGACGGGTGTCCCATCTGTCCCTGTGGTGTCAACCGGTTCAGAGTCTCTAAATGTCGGAGCCAAGCACGTTTACCCACCGACCCATGCCATTATCTCATTCAGGGCGAGATAAGATTCTAATAATTAGTCGATTGTTAGATTGGATGGCTTCTTCGTGTCACTGAGTCGTCAGTCGGGTAAATGAAGCCAAACAAAGAGACTGTATATTCTGATATAGCTGGTTAATATTTTTTGGAAAGAAGCTTGTCATGAATCCAGAAAGCATGTTTGCGTCCTCACTTTTTCTCCGGTGCCTAAACATATTTAGCTTCCTGTCATGGAGGGGGAGGAGCAGCAGCTCTACATACCACATCTGGATGGAGGAAATGTATTTTGGCATTTTAGTTTAGAAAAATGTGAGACTGACATCTGAACGAGTATTTAAGTGTTGATCGATATAAATATGATTTCAACTTGCCAGAGCTTAAGAATATAGATGGCGTAATTACTGTATACTCACATTTTATTTAAACCTCTGCTCCTGTTAATTAAAATTAAACTGATAAAGGTATTATGGTTAATTGTGTAACTACAGATTTTATTGGCTTTAGCTACGTTACAGACAAGCAGAATTTTAAATATGCCACAAAGCCATTGTAGTAAAGGCAGTGGCTGGTGCAAGCCTGGAGATTAAATGTTAAAACTCTGAAATACAGACTAAATACACGAGGTTAATGTGGGATTAAACAGTACAGAGGTCATTATGGTGGCCACTGTAGTCAGTTCACAGTAGGCCTTGCAGACATAAAGAGAAAATCTTGTCTGAAAAATGGCAGCCAGTTTAATTTGGCGACTTATTCAACTAATTCAACAGTGGAAAATAATCTTTAACAAAAACCTTCAAGTTTAGGTGGAATTATTCAGGTACTATAAATTATTCTGTTTCCAAAGTACAAACTGGACACACAAAGCCAATTTTTTGTTCATGAAGCTGCTTTTCTCCAGATGCATGCCATTAACATCTGGCTGTGTGCTTTGCCTTCCTCTTCTCAAAGCCGAACTACCTCCTCCTTACACAGCCATCGCCAGCCCCGATGCCGGCGGTGTGCCTGTCATCAACTGCCGCGTTTGCCAGTCGCTCATCAACCTGGACGGAAAGCTGCATCAGCACGTGGTCAAGTGCACTGTCTGCAATGAAGCTACAGTAAGTGGAGGCTACATCATCACAGGTGTCGACAAACTAAAACCGTAACAGTTCAACATTCGACTTTCCTCTGTATCTGTTACAGCCTAAATTCCCTGTTGAATTTTATTGTCAGGCACATTTTTGCATGAAAGAATTGAATGAAATGCCATTAGCACAGCTGATATTTTTGGTCGTTATGCATCCACACGGACATCTTATATTATGCTACTCTGCACCAAAACGATGCACGGTTTAGCATCTGGCCTCGAGCTGTTGTACCTTACTGTAAATATAAAGTTAGAGAGTCACATGACCAGAACTTGATTTTAACCAGGAGTTTCTCCAAGTTTTGTTTGATTTACACAGGCAGCGCAAAAAAGTACACTTGAAATATTTGTTTTTAAGTGTGTTTGTAATGGTTTCATTCAGAGGATGGTGGTTTATGTTGGTAATTGACTGTTACAGTTGTTGACACCAGCTGCAATGTCGTTTTTAAGAGGGTTTAGTCTGCTGTGATGGCTGGATGCAGAAAATCTGAAATAGAAGATAAATTCTTCCCCGAGCTCATTCTGCTCATTCTGTGTTGAAGTATAACGTGAACTGTGGATGAGCTAAATTTAAAGCAGTGCATTCTTTACTGGTTGTGCTTGTAGTGCTGCTACTGTGAGAGCCCTGGATTTAAAGTGCACCTACAATTTATTTTTTTATATTTACAATTCTTTAAGTATTCACCCCTTTCCTGAGTTCCTTTTGTTTTCACGTGTTTGTCACACTTAAATATTTGAGATCATTGTCTAATATTAAAATTTGTTCAAAGATAGCCCGAGTAAATACAAAATGCGATTTTGAAGTCATGATTATGATTTCATTTATTAAGGGAAAAAAAGCTATCCAGACCCACTCGACCCTGTGTGAAAAAGTACTTGTTCCTCTTGTTAAACCATGTTTTAACTGTGATTAACAACATGTTTTGCAAAGTTGAGTTTCATTTCACTGGTCACACTCAGGCCTGATTACTGGCTGAACTGTTGAATCGAGACATAACTTAAACAGAACCTGTCTGACAAAGTGAGGCTAAAAGATCTCAAAAAACAAAAAAGAAATAAAATCATTGACATCTGTCAGTCTGGAAATGGTTATAAAGCCATTTGTAAGGCTTTGGGACTCTAGTGAATTACAGTGAGAGCCATTATCCACAAATGGAGTCGCCGGCCTACCAAAATTTGTCCAAGAGCCCACGGACGACTCATTCATGAGGTCTTAGAAGAACCCAGAACAACATTAAAGAGCTGCAGGCCTCACTTGCCTCAGCTAAGGTCATAGTTCATGATTCGACATTAAGAAAGATACTGGACAAAAATGGCATCGATGAGAGAGCTCATGCTGAAAAACTCTGTGGCAAAGATAAAAAATCTGCAAAGAAGATTGGGACGAAATTCCTCCACAGCAGTGGGAAAGACTCATTGTTATCACAGACACTTGAATGCAGTTCTTGCTGCCAAGGGTGGCACAACCAGTTAGCAGGTTTATGGGACAGTTACTTTGTCACTTAGAGCCAGGTAGGTTTTGATAACTTTTCCCTTAATAAATGAATTCATCATTTAAAAAGATTTTTTCTACTCTCAACTTTCAGATCATAGTGGTGTCAGTGGGCCCAATAACCCTAATGTGGTCACAGCTTTGTAGCTCCATGCAAACGTGCTCAACAGGTGCAGCCAATCAGAAGAAACTTGCTTAAAGGAGTTGTACTTTACTACTGAAACCAAAACTTTTCTAAGCATAGCAGTTTTAACTCATAGTTTTTTATGTTTCTTTTAGCCCATTAAGAATCCCCCTACAGGGAAGAAGTATGTGCGGTGTCCCTGCAACTGCCTGCTCATCTGTAAAGACACATCCAGAAGGATAGGATGTCCTCGACCAAACTGGTACGGAACAAGAAGAAACATTCAGACAGTTTTACCCCACTGATGCAATAAGCCACACAGTGCTTCAAAACTGAATCTGGGGCTGTGGCAACATGTTGGCTCTGTAACAAGTCAAACAGTCGCGTATGGTAAGGTAAAGACCAAGGAGCTTGGAAAGAAAAGCATGTGGACTTCTCTAAGTTTCTTGAGGATGTAAGAAGCTTTTCGGATGAGAGGTGAAATATCTCTTTAGAAAAAACATTAGAACGTTACATTAAAACATTAGAGGTTATCTAGGTCTTTATGCCTTTAAGAAATTCCTGCAGTTTAACTAGTTGGTGTGTGTCTTCTAGCTTCATACATGGATAAAGCTGCATATCATCTGCTAAGCACTGAAAATTTATGCTGTGCTTTCGAATGACAGTGTCCAAGGGAAGTATAATGTAAAAAGAATTGATCCCAGCATGAAACTCTGTGGAACTCCATAATGAACCTTAGTATGTAAACAAGACTCGCTGATTACATGAACCAGTTGGAGTTTTATTTTTATCTATATCAGTTATTATTAATCATAAATGTCTTCTTGGTTCCTCTGACAGCAGACGCATCATCAACCTGAGCCCAGTGATGGTGATCCCCGAGGAGCAACCCGCCCAGCCAGCGCTGCCCATCCAACCCGAGGGAATGAGAGTGGTCTGTGGCCACTGTGGCAACACCTTCCTAGTATGTAAACCTGCAAATACAACCATCCTCAGTCAGGCACAGGCTTGTTAATGCAGAATCTCATTGCTGTGCTGTTGTTGGTACGTGCATATATACGTAATTTTGAGAGCCTCGCCATATGTTCATGTTTACAGAAAACTACTGCAGTAAACAGATAAATTGCTGAAGGATTGTCTGCTAGCTAGTTGTACTTTATGTGGGGTCAGCTATTCATTAAAAGCACAGAATTAGACACCTGTGCGTGGCTGGCATGCATTTTCTGCATGTTTTCTTTCCTTGCCTGTCTCACCAAACATCCTGAGTACCTCTTGACTGAGCATGGCCGCACCTTTCCACACAAGTTTCCCTCTCTAACATGCTCTCAACCTGCTTTTTGCAGAGTTTTCTAATCTCGGATAAAAATGGCTTCCTGCCACTCTTTGTTGATGTTACTATCAGTGCATTTGACATGTTTGGGTTGAGTGTAACATGTCACACATGCATTTAATATTTCACATAAGCAAGGTTATGTACACAACCTGAGCCATTGAGTCAGTGTGACACAGACTCGAATGTAAGAAAAATAAAGTCAGTGCTGTTTTCCTCTTAACATCTGCACATTGCTGCTTGCGGCATCTGCAGGGCAGTGAGGACGCCAGGACATCACAGCCTATGTCTGGTCTCCCCAGTGATGGCTCTCCACCAGCACAACAACAGGTTGAGAAAGCTGGTCTTACTGGTGGACTTATTAACAACAGCCTAACCCGCTCCAGCTCAATTTGTGGCCTTATTTACTCTGACTTTGTGAACATCTGGCTTTGAGCAGAGCTTTGATCAATTAAAAAAATAAAATGTATAATTTTTTTAATGCATTAGGCTCTAGAAGTCTGCGCTAAATTGTATTTTTTATTACGGCTTGCTTACCTTTAGGTATTTAATTTATTTTTATTTCTAACCTGAAGCCAGATGTTGTCACATGTTTAACTTCACTGTGACCCTTGAATTAATATGATTTGGAGTGATTTAACACTAGATGAAATATCAACTAACGAATTATGACTCTGTGTGCTAACTTAGCAAGAGTGCAGGATAGATTTAGACGGTTCATTAAAACTGTTTCAGATCATTTCCAGTAAGCCTTTTGCTGATTTGTTGTTTCTAAAAAGAGTAAGATTGTAGTGTTTCGTTTCATTTCTGTGAGCCTGTGCATGCGTGTGTGTCTCCGTGCGTGTATACGTTTTCTTTGTGCCTTAAAATGAAAATGCTGATTTCTTTTTATTCCCTCACAGTGGATGGAGCTTCGATTTAACACGCTAGCCAAGTGTCCCCACTGCAAAAAAATGTGAGTCCATCAAACTTTCACACAGAGTTCCCCTTCACACAGTCGCTTTAAGTGGATATCTGCATGTTTATATTCTGAATCGGTAGGCACAAAGCAAGTTTTGATGAATGGGAGTTTTCTGGTTTCTGCATGCTTTAGTAGCATAAAGCTGAACTTTGGAGTAGGCTGTTCATGCAGAGAGCAAAAGAACAGTGGCATTTGCCAAAATGCAATCTTTAATCTTTAATGAGATCTGTGCTCACAGCCCAGCACTGTGCAGCTTGACAGGACCTCTCCAGAAAACACCAGAACTAACAGGTTCACCACTGGAGCCCCATTTTCTTCACAGAGGAGAGCAGATTCACACTGAGCACACATGACAGATACCACGCCATCTCCAGACTCTTTCACATGTGTATATTTATCTTCATAATGAATGCGGGGTGGGGAGGAACACCAAGACATTCCCATACATCTCACCAGCATGTACTGGGCTGATCCTGATGGGATATACCTGGAACACCTCACCTTGGAGGCACCCAGGAGGCATCCTGGTTAGACAGGAGTAAAAAACAAAAAATTAAACAAAAAAGCTAAAAAACCCCAAACAAACAAGCATAAAAAATAAAAGTAAAATTCAGGAAGGAAAAAACATTAAGTTCACTTTCCTTCAAATAGACAGCTGTACCAGTGTCTTCACAGCTGGCATCGGTAACAGTTCTAAATCTTGTGTTTGATAAACCCAAAGTTTGATATTTTCTTGTGGTTTTCTTTCTATTATCGCAACTGTTGTTGGCATTTGGTGCCATACAAATAAAATTAAATTGAATGAACTCATTCATGCTGTACGTGAACATCAGCTGTGCTTCAGAGCTCTTCTGCTGAGAAAGTAAACTTCCCATGTGTTTCTCCTCATTTCTGCTGTGTGCTGCACAATGCAGTTCTGCTTTAAAAACGACAGTAAGTTAAAAAAAGTGTTAACTACATTTTATTTTCAGATGTCAGTTTCCAATTTAATCTGGGAAAATTGTCAGGTTAGCCCGTTAACTATGAAAATGTCTGGTTTGTTTTTTTCAACTTCATGATTTTGCAGTTACAGAAAGGAAGCCACTAATTTTACTTCATGTCTCATAGAAAGAAGTACTGCAGTCTGCTTTTTGTTAAAATGCATTTCATTATATTACAATTGCATTGTCTAATGCAGCTCCTGGGATGCAGTTTTAGTGCTTATGATAAAGCCAGAGGAGGTTTACAGCTCTGCAGTTAGAGTCAGCAGAGCAATGGTGACTTTTACCACCGTGCCCTGTTGTGTTTGTTGACATCCTTCTGTAACTGAGTTCCTGTGGCTCTTAAACACTTCCACTCTGCAATAGCATCACTTACAGCTAATTGTGAAATGTCTGGAAAGGAAGAAATTTCACAAACTGACTTGTTGCAACTGTGACATCCTATTACAGCACCGCGCTCCGAATTTAGAGCAACTCATTCTATCACAAATGTTTGTAAAGGCAGACTTTTGTCCACATAATGTACACAGAAACATTGAAAACAACGTGCAAGCTGAAAGTAACAACTTTCAGGAGCCTACACTGTTACATTTGATTGTAAAATAAAAATAAAAAGAACCCATTAATTAGCTGCCCCAAACAGGAGATTATAGAAAATAACTTTGAATTGCAGGATGCCCTTCCTGATGCAACCCCAGACGCATTCATGTCTCGTCCCAGCATTGAACCAGACATCCTATGCTTCTTAAGCAAATGTGTAAACCACTACACTATAGAGCCAACTAGTGAACACATGCAAATCGGTATGATTCATTATATCCACTGAGCTTTGTAAAATCTAAATTTGGTCAGCAGAGTGAAGCTGAGGCTGTGTGAAACACTGTACAGTGTTGTTACACTAAAATCCCCACACAACTTACTTTAAAGTTATTTATCTTTATTTATTGGAGAAGTAATTCACCATGAAGGCATACTGCACATGAGAAAAAGCAGAATAGAAATATAACATAGACATTTCACTTCTGTATAGGCATTAACACTTTGCCATGTAGAGCTGTGGTCTAGTATGACTCAACTATGAAACCAAACACTTGAATACCAGGAGAAAAAAAGAGGGTGCGGGGCGATCGTGGCTCAAGAGTTGGGAGTTCGCCTTGTAATCGGAAGGTTGCTGGTTCGAGCCCCGGCTTGGACAGTCTCGGTCGTTGTGTCCTTGGGCAAGATACTTCACCTGTTGCCTACTGGTGGTGGTCAGAGGGCCCGGTGGCGCCAGTGTCCGGCAGCCTCGCCTCTGTCAGTGCGCCCCAGGGGAGCTGTGGCTACAATGTAGCTTGCCATCGCCAGTGTGGGAATAATTGGATGTTTAAAGCGCTTTGGGGTCCTTAGGGACTAGTAAAGCGCTATATAAATACAGGTCATTTACCATTACCTATTGAATTTATGTTTAAATCACTGAGATGCAAAGGCTTAGAGGGCTGGATTTGCAGTTCTTGGAAGGAGGAGGGGAGGTAAGCAAGGCTAATCTAGACGTGTGACACGTATTAAAGTTTGGCCTCACATGTAATGTTAGTGGTATGAGGGTCACAGGTCTGAGGAGAGGAGGAGGGGTCACCTCAGAGAGGTTTTTGTCCTAATGAGATGATGCAGACAGTGATGGTGAGATAAGCAGCAACTATAACATGACACTACTTCTACCCTTGTTTTCTGTGTAGTTGGCTCGTACAATGCTTTGTTCTATGTACTTCTTTAAGTCAGTGAACTTCATTTATTATCTCTGTGCAATACTTTTACCACTCATAGCTTTTCCAAAAATTCCTATCATCGTATCTCTCATCCTAAAACCCCCTTTCCTTCTTTATTACAGACATAAAGGCTGAGCTAAATATTTTCCCTTAATTCTCATTGAGGAACTGAAACTTCTAGTTCTAGTTTGTTCTAGTAACACCTTTCCAAAGAGAAGTCCTCTTAATTTAAGCAGATAAAACAGTAGTAATTTCCCTCTTCTGTCTACATTACTAAAATGAAGAGATGGTTCTAGTTCACTGAATAAACAGCTAGTAAAAGAAACAGGGGATGTGAATGCAGTAGAAAAAAAGTAGAAGGCAGTAAATCAGGTGACCAGGCACCCCTAAGCCATCTGAATGCCAGTGATCCCTGAAGAATGCTTCAGTCCTGTCACATGAGAGGCATGTGAGAGCTGAGTGGGGGAAGGAAAGTGAAATTATAGTAAAGTTATGCCAGTCTGCTGCTTCAAGGCAGTTGAACTGTGTTTGTTTAGAGGCTGGATGGAGTGGAGGTTGTTTGGAGCTGGACATGTGACCGTCCTGGAGCGCTTACAAGTGTAACTTAAAAAAGGAAGTGAGATTTTTGGCTAACAGATTTATCATCAGAGCGTGGTGAAGTAAGATCACTGGGACAATGTGTGGGGACTTCCACTGGATTACAAAAAAATAAATAAAAATAAGACAGTGTAACATCTACATGTAGTTTGTATGTTTCAGTCTGTATCCTTGTGGAAACCCTCTAAATGTTTCTCCCCAATTTCTTTCTTTTCTCAATCTCTCTCTGCAGATCCTCCGTTGGCAGTGCGCTCCCTAGGAGGCGCTGTTGTGCTTATATAACTATAGGAATGATCTGCATTTTCATTGGAGTGGGTTTAACAGTAAGTACGCTTTGATCAGTTTGTGCAGATACTATCCAAGTAAGTAAGTCACTCTTTTGACAATGAAAATGGAAAAAAGCCACCAAGTTAGCTCAGTACAAGCAAGATGTAACTGTAACTGAGCTAAAGTGAAATAAGGTAAAACAACAAAACGTCACAAAAAGAGAATCTGATCTGCATCATATTTCATGACACAGCAGTAGAGACTTTAAACTCTAAACCACAATTCACTCCCTCCATGTGGAGGTGCTTGAGGACGAGTCTTCAGCAGTAGTAGTTTTTGTCTTTGGCTGGGTGATATTAGTTGCAGAAGGTGCAGCACCAAAACTATCCTTTTCACTGCTTTGGTTGCTAACAGATTGCAGCAGTTTCCTATAGTTTGTTTGGAAGATGCCAACTTATCTGTCGCTAACCAACTACTGAGTGGTAGTGAAATTTGCAAAGGTGCTGTACAAATCATAAATGGACATCATTCCCCTTGAAAGTAAAAGTTGTGCCTTATCAGAAGGCACCATGTTTCAAAACATGCAGCTTTTACTGTGAGGGTAACTGTGTCCGTTTTCAGATTTCCCAGTTTCATTCCTGCTTAGAAAGCAATTAGCAAGGATTTGCAAATAACTTGATAAACTACGAGCAGCCACGGCAAAATACAAGTGACCAAAGCAAACACAAGGAGGATTTCTGTGCAGGGAATACACTTTTCCCCCTAGCGCCTGCTTGCTGCCAGGCAGTCGCCCACTGATCTCTAGCCTTTTATGACTGGAGCCTAATCTGACAAAATGCATATAAGGGATCTTTTAAAATACAAATCAATGATCTGTATTTCTATAGGTGTAACTATGATTTCCTCCATGCTGTCTTCTTCCTCCCTCCCCCCATTATGTGTAATTATAGGTTGGCACTCGGGACTTCGCCAGACGTTACAACGCCACCTACGTGTCCTGGGCATTTGCCTATCTGCTGGGCCTCATCTGTCTGATACGTGCCTGCTACTGGGGGGCTATCAAAGTGAGCTACCCAGAGAATAGCTTCGCCTAGAGTGATCAGAACATGTGCACGGCTGGAAGAACAAAACTTCACTTTTAGTTTTTTCATCTTGCTCAGATTTCAGTCATGTTCGGCGAAGTGGAACATCTGTAGAGTGAATGGACAGGAGTTTGTTCAAGAAAGAGTATGCTGGTGATTTTTCTTCATGTTCCGTTTGTGTCTGGAATATTTTTGACTTACTGAACAAACCTACTGCCTGTCAGTCAGTCCTGTACCGGTCCACTGAGACTCAAATCCAGTCCAAGTCTCCTAAAATCGTTCAAAGTACAGAATTAAGAAATTGAAATGATCTTTCTTGATGAATGCCTGAATTAATTGGTTCACATGCTGATTTTAGAAATGATAGTGCAAGAGACTGGCTGGGTTTAGGATTTTATTTTTTTTTATCAGTTTTCTTTCCTTCAGCAGCCTGAATGACGTGACTGCACCCACTTGATTTTTCTCGTTACCGACCAGACCAAATTGAAACAACCTAAGAACAGTTTTCCCATTGCACTACAATTATATGCAATTGTGTTGTTTTGCTGCTAGTTAATGTCCAGCTGCAGAAAGCTGCATATTCATACTGCATTGTAACCATTTCTCATGCCTGTGTACACTGACATAGTATTGCTATATGATTTTAACTCCTGAAAATGTTGATTTTTGAGGAGAAATTATCCTTAAATACCCATGTGTGCCAACTTTTCTTCCAAGTGTTTAGTCAGGAAGAGTGTCAGATCAAGAGGAGCTTGTTTTGTTTTTTTAAAATCATTTCTTTGTGCCATGCAGCTTTTAACTCACTACAGCAATAACCAGTTTGAGTTGTTATGAAGCTTCCTGGTCCTCTGTCCCCAAGCTTTTCACTGTTACCTTCTCAAAATGATCCACCAAAACAAAACATGGTGACTCACGTTTGCATGCCAACTTTCTTTTCTCTTCCAGTTTTAGAGGTAGTTGAAGCCTATGATGTTCCTGTCTTTGCTCCTTCTGCCTGTGAGTTAGAATGTAAACCCTCCTCCCTTTGCTTATATCGCTGCTCTTTGACCTCCAGTGAACTCTGTCTAGCTAGCATTGCTATACGCTAACTCAGCATCCTATCTCTTGACCTTGACCAGTGGGCACAGTTCAAACTCCTAACCTTGTTTTGAATGTGATTATGACGATGAAGCAGAAAATACTAAGAAATACTTTGTACATAGTTCAAATTCAGTACTTGGGTAAGTGAGTATGTACGTAGCGTGAGCTAGAAGGTAAAGTTGGCTTTTTAAAAATGATAATTTATCAATAAAAAATAAAAAAACCTGCCTGTGCTGATTTGTTTGTTGAGTGAGATCAGAGTTTAAGGATAAAATATTAGCCGCTCGTTGTGTGATGAAGCAAATAGAACCAAATCAACAGCAAAAAGCAGTCTGCAAAGGTTTCTGTAGGATTACCACACAGCTATGCTGGTCCCTTTTTTCTAATGCTAAACTAGTTTTGTTTTTCCTGGCAAGTCTGCAGCTGTTTTATTTATTGTTCAGTCTTTCAACAGTACTACCAAGAGATCTTACTAAAAATAGTCTTTGGCTCACCAGAAGTAATTCATGTTTCACTGGACTGAATTCTGATGCGTTTTTGCTAATCTAACAAATGCCCAGTTCAATAATGCAAGAAAGACAAGGAAAGCTGGAAAGAAAACATAAAATGATTTTGCACCCTAATTTATGAGGTAGTCCGGCTTTGTGATTTTGTCATCAGAAGAAGATTTGAGAAAACGAGACGAAATAAGTGGTAGTTAATTGTTTTAAGTCTAGCTGTATTTTCCAGGTGAGTCTTCAGCCAGTTAACTGTTCAGTGTTTTTTTTTTTGCAGTAGCCGACCTACTATAGTGATGTGTAATACCAATTTTTTTGGCCAACGATCTTATTTGTGAGATAATTGCATTAAACTGCTCTTATTGACTTCAACAGTACAATTAATTGAAGGATTCACATTAGCAGAGGTGAGGCCTGACAGTCATTAGCTACCTGTATCAGAACACCTGGCAATCAACACATGACCCTTCTCATTTCATCTTTGTGACTGGTAAGATATATGCTTCTTTTTAAATTGAAAACGCAATGATGAATCTATTTATTTTTAAAACCAGGTTATCAAGATTTACAACCTCCCCCCCCTTTTTAATCAGAATAGTACAGTGGCCCTGAGAGGCCAAACAGACTGCAGCTTCAGAAAAACACCAGCAATAAGAAAAACATTGAAAAAGCACACAAAACAAAACTGAAATAGGAAAAACGAAGACACAAATAGGATAAACAAAAACAGAAATAGGAAAAAAACACAAGGGAAGTGTTTCCAGGGAGACAATAACCCGACGGACCAGTTGCAGGAACCCAAAACATGGTAGGCTTGTTTCATCATGATTCATATAATACTGATGACGGATTTTTAGGCTAATAGTTAGTCTAACACACTTACCTCTCCTCTTTTCTTTCTTCACAAAACCAATAGATCCTCCACTTTTAAGCATCTCCCAGCGCAATGCTTAGCATATTTTGGTTCCTGTCGGGTTATATTCTCCCCGAAACACATCCCTTGTGCTTTTGGAAATCAGATTTTTTCCTATTTCTGTTGTGTTTTGTGTGCTTTTGCAACGTTTTTCTTAATGCTGGTGTTTTCTTAAGTTGCAGTCCATTTGGCCTCTCAGGGCCACCGTAGAATAGCATCAAATCAGTGAAACATCTGGGATACTGATCTGCTCAATGAAGTAGCTGGTGCACTTTACAGGTGTAACAATGAGACAACCTCCAAATCAGAACCAAAATGAAAACTACAGAGGAAATTCCAAGAGACAATTACACAAGAAAAAGCTGGACAGGGCCATAGAAGGTCTTTGGAGCCCAACTGGCATTTCCCATAGAATACTAGGAATTGGCAAGTCCACCACTGATGAGAGCAGGTTCACCCTGAGAACATGTGACAGATATGAAAGGGTCTGGAGAAGCTGTGGTGAACATTATGCTGCCTGTAATATCATTTAGTATGACCGGTTTGGCGGTGGTTCAGTGGTGCGGGAAGGCTGTGTGCACATGTGTCTTTGTCTTTCTGTGTGTCACTAGTGGGACTGTCACCCTTTGGCTCTTGGCACCCCATCTAGGGCCTCCTTACTTCTCATGCTGGGGTAGATGCACAGATGTCACCAAGATGTGTGGCCTCAGGTGTTCGGTACCCCCGGGGCCTGCAGATGGCGCTGTTGTCCTGGTTCCATCTCTGTCTGCCCCCAGGCCTCACCCTCTCTCTCATTCACTCACCAGTGGTGGTAGAGAAACTTTCTTAGGGTGGCATGGAAATCAAATGAGGTGGCAAAATCAAAGCTTTTTTTGTTAAAATACATCAAATACAGTCAGAACACATGTTTTATATAAATATAGTCCCTCATACATGGTCCCTCCCATGTGTCAACTCATCAGAAATAAGAGAATAAAAATGTTAGTGACATTATTTTTCAGACATCAGAAATTCTTCTCTGGAGTAGCTCCGCTTTGGCCTGTAAACCTGTGTTAGGAAATTAAATCAGTGTGGTTGTCATATTAAGTCTGTTAAGTCCTGGCTCCACCACCACATCCACATTATTATTTCCTAGAAAACAAAACCTGTGGGTTAATATGAACTTCAGATTTGCACAATGATGAAGACGAAGTTCCTTGCCCCTACATCCTTACATTCAAGGACTGGAGGTGCACCACGCCTTAGTGGTGTAAGTAAGTAAGTCATTAGAATACATTGTCATTGTTTTTTTAATTATTATAATGACATAATGGGAATGTCACAGTCTGGCGGAGGCAGACTGTATGTATTGTGAAGAGTGGACCCAAAAATGCAGACTCCAAGGAACAGGGAACAAAACTTGAATGTTAACAAAAAGCGAGCCGTTTAATATGGCTGGTAAAAAAAAAAAAAAAGGTACAAACAAAGGGCAAGGCAAACTGAAGTAAAACTAACATTAACCTAAACTGGGAGAACTAAACAAACAACAAGAAAAACCTAGACATGAAACATGGCGTGGACAACAGATGACCTGAAAAGGAATGAACAGAAACACACAGGCTGTATCCCAATTCAGGGTCTGCAGCCTTAAAGTACGCAGCCTCAACGATCCTCAAGGGCCGCGTACTCAAAGACCGCTAAGGCCGGAAGTGCGAGGCTTGTGAAATGGGACGGTCTAGCCTCCGTTGCGCTGCCCAGGTTGCCTAGCAACCATGATACTAACCACTGGAAACGTGTCATACAGCTTTGTTTGACAGAAATGAAGGAGAAAACCTTTTGTTCATTTGTTTGTTTGATTCCACATGAGCTTTGATCATTCTCTGTAAGATTAAGCTCAGCTATTGAACGGCGTGTATTTTAAAGTAAAGGCTTTAAAACCAAGTTAGTACAAACGTCATAATGTCACATAACTTTGCCGACATGTGGCCAACAGTAATGTTCTAATGTTCTTCGTTATTAAACGTTTGCACATAAATAAGTGACATAATATTCAGTACTTAAAGTTTACTCTTCAGGCGCCCCTCATCCGCTGTTTTTTTTCGGCAAAATTATCCACACCCACCGCCGCGCTATGCATTCTGGGATATATTGGGCCACGAAGTCTACACCGCCACGTCCTTAAAATTCAGGGAAATGAAGGACGCATTTGAGGGCCGCATTTCGAGCAGCCTTCGAATTGGGACAGCCTTTGTCGCGTGGAGTCGCTGTGACGTAATCAGCCTTAAAATGCGGCCTTTAAGGCTGCAGGCCCTGAATTGGGATACAGCCAGACTAAATACACACAAGGGTGATTAGGGGAAGTGGAAACACATGGGAAACAGCTGACACTAATCTGACATAATGAGACACAGGAAGCAAAGCTGACTATGCTGAACTAGGACACAGACTTTCATAATAAAACAGGAAACATGAGACGCAGACATAAACTTGATAATATAAACTTGACAACATAAGACATGCAGCTTTAACACATAAAGGGCAAAGGGAGACTAAAACACAGGGGTAGAAGACGCAAGGGGAATCGAAATAGACAAATGAGCTTAGATAATCTAATGAACTTAAAAATAAACCATAAACATCAAACATAAACTAAAACCTAAAATGCTGGGTTAAAAGACCCAGGATCGTGACAGGGAACTTTAGTGTTTGTTGATATATAAGCACTTTATTTAAAAACAAACATCTGTTTCAGGTCATAACAGCATGTGCCGGTTTGCACAACATCTGCCTCGGTGCTGGTGACATTGTGGCCCAGTGGGATGATGTTCAAGATGAGGGGGAGACTGGTTCAGAGGCAGTCAGTGGTGCTCTTTGGTGGGACCGCCAATCTGCTGAGGTGTCTGCCCTGGACCAAAATGATTGTCAACAGGCAGGTATTCATTAGTACATTTTTAAAGTTGTAGATTATTACTTGTTATATCCATATTAACAGGATTGTTTGCCCAACTTTGTTCTTGCATCTTCCTGAAAACATTTTAGTGACATGGCAGCAGTCAGTTACATCAACCCTAGAGTTAGATGATGTGGTGAACTGTGGAAACAAGCATCCCTAAACAACTTGTGGAGACCACCCTTTATGATGCTCAACTTAGAAGGTAGAAAGGCAAATTGTTTCACTTATGGCGTCTCCTTCATCTCTTTGGTCCTGGTCCAGCAGATTCAGCAGCTCTGCCCGAGACTTCCTGCTCAGCTAAATATCAGGCCTGGTTAAAAGTGTGCATATGGAGACACTCAGCCTAATCCTGGACTTTAATAATAACTCTTAATAACTAATACTCCTGTTGTGTTGTTTTCACTGTTGTTGTTTTCTCAATTTAGACAATTTAATAAATCAGTTGCAAATAAACAGTTATGTTGTACATAGTTTGAGAAAATGATTCAAATACAGTTAAAGTGTTTACAATGATTTTTATTTATAGAACTTTATACATTTTATGTTGGACATTGATAGGTTTGTGGCTTGAACCTATTCGCTGGAACGTTGAAGGCAATATAATTACACAGCAAGCAAGACACGAAGTAGGCAAAGTTCTCTGGTTTACTCATGCATGAGGGAGACCTGCCTGAAGCCAAGTGTCGTCCCACCACTTGACCTCCGTCAGACTCAGCCAGGCTCCCCATAGCACTCCTTTTATTGTGGTTACATGAATATACATAGGGTCATTAACATATGACGTCCACTGCAAACAAAGAGTACCGTGTGTGTGTGTGTGTGTGTGTGTGTGCTGCTGATCAAAGGGTCATATAACATAAAAGCACAAACCTAAACATCCTTGGTCAGGAAGAGGGTAGCCTCCCCCTCACTCTAGATGGTTCACCCTAGATAACACGGTGAGGAAGTCCAGGAGTTAAAGCACTTAGACTAGAACAGACGTAGCTACGTTAATCCTACCATAAAACAATAAGACAAGGTACGACCTCTCTCGTGCTCCCAGAGTGCTCTCTAATACACACAAAGTTTGCAGACTATCACTACACAATTGATTATACACCTCTAAGCATATATGGTTAAATATTTCTAAGCATAAATGACAATCAACAATACAAAACCTAATAGACATAGTTTTAAAAAATAATTCAAATAAAATTCAACAAACAGCAAGTTCAACTATGTACAGTGATTAATATTTAAAGAATGTTATTTGTTCCCCCCCCCCTTCTCTTGGCCAAGCTGGCCGTCATCCTCCTGCTCACTTTGGTGGACCACTGAATAACTGGGCCCTGGAGTGTCCTCTTGGATGGCGGCAATTAGGACTGGAGGGCCTCTCTGGCAAACCCGGGTGATGTCGCTGCAGTGGGCTTCTCACTCACTCCTTAACTGAGAGCCATGCTAGGCTCAGGGAGACTCTGCTGACCGTCTGTCCCGCGGTCATGCAGGGACTTCATCAAGCTTGGTTGTCTGTTCTTTGTGTGTTTGATTAAAGAATGTTAGCTACCGCTCACCGCTCGTCTGCAGGCTTTATTTAAATGGAAAACTTCCACAAC